TCCAAGCTGTAAAACAAAATCTGATAAAATGCCTTTCCCTCAGTAAAAGTCCAGCTTTTGAATCACATCTACTTGTTTTAAACTATCCACTCAGCAATCTCTTAAGATAAGGAACATGATTAAAGAGAAGAGAACACCAGTTAAGCTGCTTTCCCCCTCCACTTGCCCACTGCAGGAGGGTTTCAGAAGGATCTGCAACTTCAAACTGCTTTCTCTTGATACAGAAGACAGACAGCTCTGTCTTGATATATATAAGTAGATAAAAAACATAATTGGAAGAATAAAACAAAAGCTTCACCACCAGTAAATTCTGCAGAGATCTCAGTTATTCCAGCACATCTAACTGCAGTCACTTCCAGAGTGTGCTGGGATGACAGCAGGATCACATCCAAGATCTCCTTTTCTATTTATTTTACCCATCATAGGCAGAACTTGGTATTAATCTGCCTGTTTTTCATACAAAACAAGACTGTCCAGAAGGCAGCAGAAGTAGATGGAGCCATACACCCAGAGCAGAAACAATTAGGATTCCAAGTTCTGTTGTATCTGACTTTCTCCATCAGTCCCCAAACAGAAAGAAGCTTCCAGTACCAAATTAATCTATTCCATCTAAATCAGCATAAACATTTTTGGGTTGCCTGTATGTTCACTATTGAAAATCCCTAGCATCCAACATTCTCTGGACACCAAAAACTGGGACGTTGGATGGAATCACTAACTACAGATCACTGAAGGAATCTTAAATTCTTACAAGCTTAAAATCTTTCCAATCAGGCAGATGATGGACATTGGCAGGAGCTTAGAAAACACTGCAGGTGAAAGGAGAGTCAAGAGTGGGGACTGTTCAGAGAGGTAACATGTGGGTGATAACACAGACAGGATAACACGGTGTGTATGAAGATGATCAATACACAGAGTAGAACATGGTATGTATGAAGGAGATATGAAACATGAAACACCAAGAAGACACCTCTATTTTCTTCCACTGCATCATAAAACATGATACACATACCTGGTTTTGGCACAGAATTGGTCACGGACTGAGGAACTTTGTCATTAATTAGTTCAACACACTCACTAGGGAAAAATCCAACCTGTAGTAAAAACAGAGAGAGAGGCAGAGTATGAGTGGAGTGTTTTTAAGATCTGAACTGAGAAACCAGCCAACTGTTAAACATCTTCCTTGAACTCTGCTTCACAACATGATCCAACATAAAATGACCAGGGTAGGAGTAATTATTTTTTTTATAAGGAGGCAGCCAAAAATTCTACAAACCTAATAATTGGTTCTGTAAAATACATTTCTCAGTCTGTTTTCTAAGCCTGGTACACAGGACAGAGATACTCAACTTGCAACAGAGATGGGAGAGGACAAGTGTGCTACACACCCTTACAAATCAGGGGAAACTCCAGAGAGAAGGATTTCAGCTGGGCTTCCTGCACCTGGCTGCTTGTCTGTGACATGAAATGTAATGAGGAGAGCCAGAGGTTTCAGCTTTCAGCATCCCAGCTATCTGTACTCAGATCTCATAAACACTTGACCTTTTTTCACTGTCACAACACTATATTCACAAGCCCTTTAACATTTTATTCCTTTAAAAAACTTAAATCAAGTATGGGTCAATAGATTTGCATGTCTGCACAGTCCCACTGCAGAAAAAGGCAAATTCTTGTAGGACAAGCCAGGAGAAGACACTTTGAGTGCACAAAGATCTCTTCTGTGTCCTCCCCTTGCTGTGTGTGCTTGGTCTGATGAGTATGGGTAACAAGGGATACTCCTGAAGGGCCACAATTAAACATGTTTAAAGGCCTTCCTAAAAAGTTCAAATATGGTTTTAACTAGATTGAATTTAATTCAATCTTAGAACTGAGAATAGGTTTAATAAGATATACATGGAGTAAAATGAGTTCTACATTTGTAAGTAAGAACCCAGTAATTTGACTAGGAATAAACACAAATGCTTTTAGAAGAAACAGCACGATGCAGAAAAAATATCTCTGCCACAAGGCAAAACTCATGGTGTGTTTCTTATTATCTGCTCCTGGATATGGACAAATCCACACAACTGTTGTGCCTCAGTTATCCTCTCAGCAAAGGGCAAAGGAGAATGTTGCCACAACATCCATTCCTGCAAACTGCTTGGAGAGAGGAGCTGACACCCCCCCAGGCTGCTCAACTAGGATGATTTACTGGTGTATCTGCTAATTGAGCTGAAACAGAAAGAATATTCCAGAAACAACCCCCGAAGCAAGACTCTCCACAGCAAATATTTGAAGCTGCTTCAAAAGCAACACCCCACCCTGGGCTACCCCAGAGCACTGCTGTGCCCAGCATGGTGACAAGCACTGGATGCAGCAGCTTCTCTGCTGCCAGCACCACTGGCATCTCCAAGGGCCCAAGCCACAGCAGGGTCCTGGGATTGCTTTGCAGCCCTTCAGCACAGCACTTTTCCCTGCTTCCTTTCTAGCTCAGACTTGCTGGAGAGATTATCTAAACCAGCACCAGGGCTGGAGACTAGAGCATGGGGAGGATCTTCATTTTTTGTCTCAATAGGATGTGCCTCCAGAAATTCCCATTCCACTCAAAGGTGGCTCCATCTGGGGAGAAGTGAAATTATTTCCCTTTCAATATTGAAGGATTCAGGCCAAGACACAACCAGGTAGGAATTTTACACTTCTCAGCGTCCCAACCTTCTCTCCACTTTCCAGTGTCTTCCTTCTTACTCTTATCCCAAGTGGAAGTCCAGCCAGACCAGCTCCCTTGGCACCTTCTATCCTTAGTCCATATTTCCAGACCTTGTCCTCCCATATCCCACCTCCAACACAGCTTCTGTACCGTGACATGTAATCCAAACACCACCACCCTTCTGAGACACCCCAGACCAAGATTTCCTGCCCTGTGTCAGGCATGTGACCTGGACAGCTGAAAGCATCAAGTCACTAGAGACAGCCACAGATTGGGCAAGTGCTGCAACAATCCATGGCAAGGAGCCAGGGGATGGGCCCCAGGCTGATGGAAAGAGGAGAATTGGGCCAAAGCTGCTACCATCCATGTCAGCACATCCATGAAATCCTTTGGAGCCACCAGGCAGCCAGCACTGTGAGTCTGGCCAGCAGTCCCTTCTCTACATGCCCAAAGAGTAGTGATGAACAGCTCCATGGAGCTCCATCTCCAGATGGAGACCTCTGATGAGTGGTGTTCCCCAAGGGTCAGTACTTGGACCACTGCTATTTGACATCTTCGTCAGTGACACGGCCAGTGGCCCTGAGTGCAGCCTCAGCCAGTTTGCCAACGACACCAAAGTGTGTGGGGAGATGACAGGCTGGAGGGAAGGGATCCACCCAGAGGGACCCTGACAGGCTGGAGGAAAGGGATCCACCCAGAGGGACCCTGACAGGCTGGAGAGGTGGGCTTGTGCTAACTGCATGAAGTTCAACCAGCCCAAGTACAAGGTCCTGCAGCTGGGTTGGGGCAATCCCAAGCAGAAATACAGACTGGTGGGAGAATGGATTGAAAATAATCCAGGGGAGAAGGACCTGGGGGTGATGGTGGATGAGAAGCTCAACATGGGCAGGCACCGTGTGCTGGAGCCCAGAAACCACCCGTGTCCTGCAGCAAAAGCAGCGTGGCCAGCAGGTCTGGGGAGGAGATTCTACCCCTTTACATGGATCTCGTGAGACCACAGCTGGAGAAATGGGTCCAGTTCTGGAGCCCCCAACACAAGAAGGTCATGAAGATCTTCAAGAGAGTCCAGAGAACTGCCATGAAGATGATCCAAGAGGTGGAGCAGCTCTGCTTTGGAGCCAGGCTGGGAGAGTTGGGCTGTTCAGCCTGGAGAAGAGAAGGCTCCAGGGAGACCTTAGAGCAGCTTCCAGTGCCTGAAGGGGCTCTAGGAAAGCTGGGGAGGGGCCTGGGACAAGGGCAGGGAGGGAGAGGACAAGGGGGAAGGGATTAAAACTGGAAGAGGGAGATGGAGGTGAGACATGAGGGGGAAATTCTTGAGTGTGAGGGTGGTGAGAGCCTGGCCCAGGTTGCCCAGGGAAGCTGTGGGTGCCCCATCCCTGGCAGTGTTGAAGGGCAGGTTGGATGGGGCTTGGAGCAGCCTGGGCTGGTGGGAGGTGTCCCTGCCCATGCAGGGGGGTGGATCTGGATGATCTTTAAGGTTCCTTCCAACCCAAACCATTCTATGATTCTATGATCTTGCACAATTTCCTTTAATCTCCAAGGAAAAAAACGTCTTTTACCTAATCCAAGTTGATTTTCACCCATAAACCCCCAAGCAATGTCATGCATGGTGTGTCCAGGTGTCTCCAGACTTTGAAATTATTCCAAATTCCCTAAGGGAAGCAACAGTAAATAGAAATAGCAGGTTAACTTCTGCTTCCCACACCCACAAAATCCCGGAAGGCAACATTTTATCCAAGTAAGAGGACAAACTGGAATCCACCATACTTAGTGCTAAAAACCTGGAATATGCTTTTTGTTAAGATATGACAGCACAGGAACAGAACTTGAACCAGCAGCACTAGGGAGCAGCAGACCTTGCTTCTCTCATCTCTGGCTCCCAGCAATTGAGCCTGGCCTGTGCCTTTCCCTTCTGCTCAGGTGACCCACAGAGCTGAAGAACCCATCCAGAACCCAGGATAATGTCCAGCTTCTCCCACCCACTCACTCAGCTGGGGGTGCCAATTTTGCCAGGAGATGATAACCCCAAGTTACACAACAGAGGGGTGGGTTTTGTGCAGGTTAG